GCTGGTAGCTGGGAGAGGTAAGAATATTATTTACACTGGATCGGAAGCTGAACGCAGGAGTTAGCTCGGATCAAATTAAACCTTTGGAGAAGTAGAAGGCCACAACCGTTGGCAGAACGAGGTATGGTTTAATTTGGAGCTAGAGCGAGAAATAAATACATGGTTCATATGTATACATATACATACATATGCCACGGGAACTCGGACTGGGATGGAAAACTCGCACAAAATCACTGCACTGTTGTTAGGCACAATCGAAGAGTACTTATCTTGAACTTGGAGCGATCCGCCGATGCTGGCTGGGGTGAGCTTCTCCTTATGGGGAAGGCGAAGATCCGGCTCGAAGGACCAATGTTTGTAGTGGGGCGGATCGAGGTTCAATTATCCAACGGCGAGGTGTATGTTCCAGTTTAAACTCCGATGGGTAGTTATGTAGTTCATGTAGTTATTGGGTATTCGCGCGGTATGTCGACAGGTTGAAGCGGGGGTGAAAACGTAACTAACTAACTCTATGCCTTATGAAGCTTTTGCTGCCGTGAGCGCCGAATGGATCGTGGATTGTGGATCCGAGCGCCCCTCCGAGCGCGCGAGAGCGAGTTGGGACAGGGGCGCACGGAGTTGGCACAGTGCGCGGAAATTGTTTACTGCTGGCCTGAACATTTAGTTTTCTCGAATCTTCAATATTGTGGATGCAACAGATTTTCGTCCTTTGTGTAGGCGGAACGGGGTGGGGAAAAATTTTGAGATATACGTTTTATAGTGAGATCTAACAGGAGTGCGGATACTAAATTTGGTTACTTCAGCGTTAATAGTCTCTGAGATTTGTGGATGCCCCAGATTTTCGTCCTTTGCGGGGGCGGAAGGGGGTGTGGCGAAATTTTGAAACAAACTCGTTAAGGTCCGATATCTTAGGAGTGTGTATACCAAATTTGGGAAAACTTGTATCGGCACATTCCTTACCGGGCAGGGAGCGAAGAAGTCGCCTCGTGGAAATTATGTGTGCCGAAAGATGCCTGGGAAAGGGTTTTAAGGAAAGCCACGATAACCAGGAAGCAAGCCACGCAGGCGGAAGGAGAACCGCGGCACGGGTGGCGGCAATATATTACTGGCCAGGGATGTACAGGGACGTTAGGGCCTACGTGCGGAAGTGTGAGCTATGTCTTTGTTTTAAGCCAAGTCAGCTACAAGCAGCAGGGGAAATGTTGACACAGGTGCCGGAAGAACCGTGGGCAACGGTGTGCGCTGACTTTGTGGGTCCCCTGCCGAGGTCGAAGCATGGGAACTCGATGCTGTTGGTGCTAGTGGATCGATTCTCAAAGTGGACCGAGTTGGTGCCGCTGAGGAAGGCCACGGCCGAGGCATTAATAAAGGCCTGTCGAGAGCGCATAATAGACCGTTTTGGGGCGCCCAAAGTCTTCATTACGGACAATGGGGTGCAGTTTACAAGCAGGACATTTAAAAGATTCCTGGAGCAGCTAGGAGTTCGTCACCAGTTTACGGCGCCATACACGCCGCAAGAGAATCCGACAGAGCGAACGATCAGAACGGTAAAGACCATGATAGCCCAGTTCACCGAGGGTGATCAAAGGTGTTGGGACGAAAAATGGCCGGAGCTGATGCTGGCCATGAATTCGGGAGTGTCGGATGCAACGGCGTTCGTGGTGCAAGGAAGGGAACCCCGGCTGCCAAAGGCCCCATATGACGAGGAGACGGTAGGCACGGGACAAGGCACAGAGACGCCGGATGAAAATGCGAAGAAATTAAAGGAGCTGTTTCAGTTGGTTCGACGCAACTTGGAAAGGGCAGCCCAGGATCAGGCCAGGCATTACAACCTGAGAAGAAGACCGTGGAGACCCAAAGTGGGAGAGGTCGTATGGGCTTTGTCCCGAAGCTGGCACCAAGGTACGATGGGCCATACCGGATAGAGGACTTTATATCCCCAGTTATCTGCCACCTAAGAAAGGAGGGCGACAGGAAGAGGACAACGGCACACATACGAGATCTGAAACCCCAACCCGAGGAGCGAGAGACACAGGGGTGAAGGGGAATGGCTATAATGGGTCGCTCTAAAGGGTCACGCAGGACCAGGAACGGTAGAGTGCCACGCAGTGTGGGCCTCGGGGCCCGCCCCGTGCGAAGCCCAGAAAGAGGCAGGCGCCCGGGTGTGGAAGGAGACTCCACGCGGCAGCAACAGCAGGGACCCGCGGAGGAGGGTCCCCCCTCCCCACGACCGCAGCGGCAGAAATGGCGACGGCGGAGGCGGAGACGGCAGACCCCAGCGGGACGGCGGCGGCAGAGACGCGGACTGCAGAGACGGCGACGGCGGCAGCAGAGACGCGGACCGCGGAAACGGCGACGGCGGCCCAGAGAGTGGCGACAATGACGGCGACGGCCGAGGCAGCAGTGGAACCCGCGGAGGTCGAGGCGTGGGAGCGCGGACCGTGGGTGCGGCCCGCACCGGAGAGGTCAACGGCGGCCGAGCGCCCGGTTCTGAAGCGGCAGGCCTCGTGCCCGGAGCCGCGTGTAGGACCGAAGCGGCCGGCCCTGCAGCGGCAGAGCTCGGCACCGGCAGCCACGGTCCACTGGATAGCGATCCCGCGGGAGGAGTGGCCAGTGTCGGTGATCCGCGCACAAACCCAAATCCGCCTCGTGGGGAGGAGGGTGAAGAAGCTGGTGAGCGAGCGGGGTACCCGGTACCGCATTGCGATGACGGCCGCGCGCACGGAGGTGTTCTGTGAGCAGAAGTAACAAAAAAAAAAGGAAGAAAAAAAAGAGCAAGAGGAAACTAAGGAAAAAAACAAAAAAACAAACGGAAAACTAGAAGGAAAGAAAATGAATAAAGAGAAGGCGAAAAAGAAAAGAAGAGGAATACTTACTTGGGGGAATATCGAGTGAATCGCATAAACGCCCCTACACCTTATCGATAGGCAGGAAGTCAGCCCCAGCCAGAAAATTGCAAGGGCTGGCAGCGCCGCCCGAGCAATATCGCCAGAGGGCGCCAGGGCGGCCGTGATCCCAGGTGCAATAAAGAGCGCGAGCGAAATAGGGCCGTTTGAATTGGGAAGGCACACTCCGTCGCGAGGTCGCGGAAAACGGGAGTATTCCGCTACGGGAAGAAAGAGGGGGGTGTGGGGAACCGCGGTTCCCACAGGCCGAATTCGACCAAAGCACAGCCGGATAAGGCTGTGGAACGGCCGGATAAAGGCTGTGGAACGGCCGGATAAAGGCTGATGGCTGGCCGGATAAGGCGAAGGTCAGTCCTGATACCCACGGATATCCGGATGCGGCGAAGAGGCCAAGGGCCCCGAGAGGAGAAGTGTCCCGCTCTCAGAGAGAGAGAGAGACACGCGAGAGGCAGAGGAGACGGCGGGATCGGGCCGGCAGTGATCCGACGCATGACCAAATAAGGGCATGGGATCACGCCACCGGCCAGGTCCCGTTACGAAGGCCGTGGAAGCCAGGAGACGGCGATGGATAGTTTACGCCGAGCCGGGGCCCGTAAAGGCGGGGTTATAAAAGGAGGCTGCGGCGACGAAGCGATCTCTTTTTCGTGGATAAGTGATCGTGCGCGCACGTTAAAACCCCGCCGAAACGTAAGAGTGATACCCGGTACGGTTCGAAGAAGTGCAGTGAAGTGAATACAGCAACAGGAAGACAGGCCCCGCCTGCCCCCAGAGTAGTGTTGTGTTGCTCATGAGTGAGTGAACAAAAAAGAGTTGTTCACTTAAGTGAGCTTGTTCTTTTTTGCTCACTTGTTCTTTGTTGTTCACTTGTTCATTTGTGTTCACTTGTTCTCTACTCACTTTTTGCGCAATTTTGCACCTCATATTTACATTTACTTCACACTTTTTGTATTACCGGCAAAGCTGTTTACTCTTTCAAAAATTCAGTATGCGCTAATTCGAAAGTATACTGAAATTTGGAACCATCTGTGCATGAATAGTGAACAACTGAGAGAGCAAGTCAGCAACTGAGCAAGTGAGCAACTGAACAAGTGAGCAACTGAGCAAGTGAGCAAGTGAGTAACTGAGCAATCTAAGAGAGCAAGTGCGCAATATGAACATGTTCACTAAAATGAGCAATGTTTACCCAACACTACCCCAGAGTGAGTTCAAGTTAAGATCCACATTCCACAGCTGCGGAAGCTAAGAGGGGAGTGCGAGACGTAGAGTGCGGATTTGAATGGCGGGCCAAAGCAATAGAGGAGGTCAGACGGACAGACAGACATGACTCAATCGACTCGGCTATTGATGCTGATCAAGAATATATATACTTTATGGGGTCGGAAACGATTCCTTCTGGATCCACTTTTACCACAAATCTAATATACCCCAATACTCATTTTGAGTATCGGGTATAAAAAGACCGACACAAAGAAAAAACAAGCCTCGTTTGTAACCAGTTACATGTTTATTTCTAAATAAAATAATTTCTTATAAATACAATTCCTATTTGTCTATTATACTACGCTTACTTTAAATTCACATATAAATTGACCGTTCATTATCCTATGCATTGTCTTAAACAAGTTACGAAATAAAAATAAGGAACACATCAAAGAAACAAAAAATGAGAACATAACCATTGAACTGAACATTTTGAATAAATCATAAGTCTTTTATAATGATATTCATTTTATATTCAGCCTTGATATAAATTCTAACCAAAAACTGAAAACATTTTGCGATTGCAAAAATTTTTCACATTTTCAAACGTTGTCTCTAGACAATCCAATCATAATGTATGAGTTTGCAGTTTCTTATAATTGTGCCAATGAAGAAACGTGCGGCCAGGCGAAGTTATTGAATCCAATGAAAAAATATAATGTGGACATCTATCACTGTAGATATAATCTAAATACGTTATGTTTCAGAGCTGCAGGAGGGAATGTTCTTAGTTCCATTATCTTAACTGTTTATTTTAATGAAATGCTTAACATTCTGATATGCAAAACTATGTTATAATATTATAAATTAAACATAAACTAAGAAAGCTTTGTTATGGATAAAAAAACAAATTTTGCAATATGGAAATTTTTTAATCGTCGGCTGATCTACGACAGGTTCGTAGAATACTGGTAGAAGTTTAGAGCCAAATCGAATCTCAATTTTTTTACGACTATTTAATTGTCATACGAATGTACATATGTACTTTTTACATATATATTGGTTCAGTGCAGCCTGTCCAATTGATTTCAAATTATATATATATTGAAGATTAATACACTTAATTTACATATGTATGGATATGCTATATTATCTAAGTAAATGCAACAATGTAATACTTGGGTTCCTAGATAGTTGTATATATGTAATTATTTATTTGTGCTAGTAAAATAGCTAAATGCTTTAAATTGCACACCGTTCAATGATATTTTCGTTCCGTGATAATTTACAGAGAACTGTCTGAATCGAATTTTTTTTAATTGTAAGTTTATATGTCGTCAGCGATTTAATTTGAGGTCGTAATATATGAATTAAGACATTCTTGATTTGCATTAAAATTTCGATATATGCTCGCGACTATTGGGAGATGCTATTTTTTTTGTTGCATTGGCTGTTAATGGATTTGCTGTAGTCACTATTAATGGTATCTTTATGTCATTTCCGGTTGGGTATACTGCTGGGCATATTTGAATGTTGGGCTGCGCCTTGCCCAAATGTATATGAGTAAGTCTGTCGCTGGCTAAATTCCGTTGGTGGTGGTCACCTTTACTTTTATGGCGGGTCAAAGAAGCAGTAGTCGGTGGGCATGGGGTCCAGGCACCTGCAAATATATATAACATTTTATAATCTGTCTGTTTCTATGCAACCTTGTCCCGCAGTTTTAAGTGATCTGGCTTTGATTATACTGCATTTAAGTCGAATCGATAGACTAGTCTAAGTGTATTTTGGTCTGTTGGTTACGCGCACATTTTTCCTCAGTATCTTCCAATAGATGCATATTTTCTGGTCTTATGTACCTTGGTCCGTTATCCTTGTCCCTTGCCTATTTTAATGCCGTGCTCGAGTTAAGACTAGTTTAGGGAGGCTTGAAGTTGCGAGCTGATGAGAGCCGACTTCGAACGTGATCGTAGGTGAGTGTGAGTGAGAGGTAAATGTCATAAGATGGAAGAACCTGAACCTGAAACTGCGACAAGTAACATTCATTGCCACGGGAACTATATGTGTGATAGGTATAAGTGGGCTGCCTTTGGTGCTAAAGGAAATATTTTTTATATGCGGCCGGATGAATTCTCAAGCATATATGGAATTGGTAGAAAGTAAAACTATTATATTTTCTGAGCATTTCCATGGTAATCAATGGACATTGTACAGTATAATGCGCAGAGCCATGTTGCCATGATTTTCTATGACTAAAATATACCGTTGTAGAAGTTTCCGGTAATCAGTCTGGAGTAAATCCAATTAAGGATCTGTGGGGCATACTTGCAGTAAAAGTGTATTCTTGTACAAGCCAATACTATAACAAGGACTTAAAACAAGCTATAGTTGCAGAATGGGCCAAGATTGAGCTATCAACTTTACAAAACTTGACAGGTTCGTTGACCCGTAGGGCGCAGAAGCTGCAGGACCATACGGGCAATTTAGTTAACAAGTTAATTTTTCTAAACACTTTTTCCTTGAAAATATTTTTCCACACATCCGGAACGAAGGCACACGAGGACGATCAGCTCGAGTAGAGTAATAACCGACACGCGAGAGACGGCAGAAAGGCGACCCACAGTGATCTGGCCGACGGCCAAGATAGAGAAATGCATAGAGTAGAAATGCTTTGAAAAGTATACAGACAGGAACATAAATGATCCAATAAAACTACCATATAAAAGACTTCCCTCTCTCCTTGCCTTTCACATGGTCGGAGCCCCGAGCATATGTCCGTCGCTTCCCTCTCTATTCCACCCTCATAGGCCTAACTCCCTCGCCCCGATCCTGACGATCCAGTGGGGCCAAAAAGAGGTGTTAAAGAGTTTTATAGGCGCCTGGAATCGGACTTCCATCAGTTGCGGGGTTGCGTCAGTTAAATCGATATAAACTTAAGTAAAGGAATATTTAAAGAACAAATACAACAAATTCTCGGGAAAAATCGGCGATTTCTGTTTTTTTTAAATCAAGTTAAAGTTGAATTACTGTAAAAAATAGGAGGTACTAATGAATCCATTTACTCAATATTTAACAGAAAGACACAGAAAAACACAGAAAGACCAAAAAAAAGCCTCGATGAGTGTTCAGATTATACAAGAAAGTGAAAACAAAGAATTGCATCCTTACACCGCTGAAGAGGCTTTGCACCTGTTTTTGGATTTTTTGAATGTCTAAGAAAACAAATGTAATATTACGGAATTGATTAATCCAGCATAGCGTGAACATTCTGCCTGGATATAACAAATTTAGAGTAGCTACTGATGGCAGTGCCGGATCACAAAATAGTCACGTCTGAATCAGCAAAACTACAATTTCAAGTGCCTGTGGATCACTGAAGTGGTTTGAAAGAGTAACGTATAAAAAAAAAGGTATAAATACTGGGATCCACAAAAAGGGAACATTTGGAAAAGTACCAAGAAGGGATATTGGTCTCCCTATGTTATTCAACTTTGGCGCCTCAATTCAAGTTAAAAGGTAAACGAAGTAGAGCGGTTTTTTTTTCTGTTTTTTGAGTTGAAACTTTAATAATTACGGCGTCAATTCGAAAATGGAGGATTCTCAAGTTTAACGCTGTACTGGGGGTCTCAGACTGTGCAGATCTAGCCTCGGTCTCTTGGAAGAAAAACTGTTGGCGAAGACAGACGTGCTATTTTTGTCCAGTCCAAGTATAAAGAAAAAAAAGAGGAATAAAAACCGGGAAAAGATCTTAATAGCTGAATACAGCAAAAAGAAAGAAATATTGTGCGTTTATAAAGTAAAAGTGTGTTAAGTGCCAATTTCAATTGGTATGTATTTCAGCGTCGCTAATATACACCACATACACTCGTGGCGTAGGGTAGTGCTTTTTTTATTGTAGGAAATTAATTTTTCAGATTGGCGGTTAAAATTCGGGCAATCGTTTGGGTACCTGTCTGAACCCCAATACGAAAGCTTGCAACAACAATTTCCCCGATATTAGGGCCTCCGCCCGCGACAAGAGACTTATGCTCCTCGCCCAACTACAGCTCCGTACCAAAAATTCCCAGCGCTAGGCCGAGCAGCACAAAGCGGGAGGCTTAAAAGATCGGCTCATCAGTCGCTTTGCGGGCGCGAGCCCCTTATGTGTCACGGACCCGCGATATATTGGAGGCCGTCCAATTCTGCGGAAATTATTAAAGCTGTGTAAACGGTCAACCAATTTCTACCCGAAATATAGATCTGGGTCTAGACCTATTTCGTTTCCCCGTACGAAGTGCCGAGGAGTGCCCAGATGTGAAGCCGGCGGCAACGACTGTCGTTTTTTTTTTTTTTTATCCATCAGTGTAACCGCTGATTCCTATTTTATGTTATAGAGTCATTAGTGTAATTAGCTTAGTAAATTTCTTTTGGTTGTGTTTTAAATTCTGTTCGGAAGAAATAGCAAGTGGAATGTGTGACAGGGCGAAAGTGAACAACGGTTAACACGCAGAGGAGAGCGTGAGTTTTTTTTTGTAAAATTATTTCTCCAGCTTTCCTTTTAGGAACGTTGCCGCAGTCCATGGAAGCGCTTTCATCGCTGTTTCAACGCATTTATTAAAACAAATCAAGGAAGGCCGTAAGTGATCCCAAAACATAAAGATAAAATATTGGAGTTTGTTTGTTATTAGCAACTATTTATTTCGTAACCGAAAAAGAAAAAAACCTCACGTAGTCAGGGGATTCTTCGCTTAAGAGAGGCTGTGCGCTCTCCCTTATGCCTTGCTGGCAACCATAAGCGCTTACGCCGCGCATAAGAAACAGCCCTCTTAAGAACAAGGCACAAAAGGGAAGATGCGAGGCTGGTCGCTTTCTACTTGCGGTTGCTTTCGCTAATGCACTTGAATAACTGACCTGCCATAACGATCGCTGCGCACAGTTTTTACATTCCCTTTTGCATATTTATTTATTATTATTATCTATTTGCCTAACATAAAAGCTAGAGATATGTACCCTTCCCTTCCTTCAATTTGTAAGTTAAATTTCAATCTAAATTGTATTATTAAGAGTTAAGCATTTATTAGTTTACGAGTTGCGATGCATGTGCTATTGCTCAATATGAAATATAGGATTTAACATGAATCGGGGCTAGAGTTCTATATGCGGGGACCATGCTGGGCAAATGAGGGTAATGGGGTTGGATAGGAGGCTGTAAGAGCCTTCTTTATGGGATCACCGGATGAACCGGGAGCGGTGATCATGGTAGGGTGGGCATGAGGGGTCACAACAACACCGTGGCACGACTTGTATGTGTGTATGTGTCCGTGTGCGTAGTTAGGTGTATTTTCTCTGGTACATATTTGTGTCGATACTTCGCTTGCACGTGAAATTTTTAATGAACGTTACTGTGTCAGTATTATGATTGTTGGAGTAGAGCTGTGTCCCGTCCGTTCTGGGAAATAAAAAAACCCCCCCATTTCTTGCCTTGAACCTTGAACCATCACCTGCTCAGCCTTCCGTGAAGGTTTGGTAATATCCAATATGCTACAGTTAGTTTATTATTTGGCGCCCAACGAGGGGCCCGAGTTGTCGCAACTGACAACAAACCGGCAAGGCCCAAATGATTGTGAAAATTGTGGAATGTAGATGTGACCTTACATTCCCAACCAGTATCGGGACAGATGTGTCTTTCTAGTTGTCATTCTGTTTTGTTTGTTTTGGCTTTATCACTTTATGCTGGATCAGCGCAGTGGGTTATTAAACTATTGCCACCGTTGTAAGTGACCAAGCGGGCTCCTATTATGCAGGCCGGAATGATGGATACATATAACACCGGTACCACCCCGATGCATCGAGCTTATTACTATTCGTTTCGTTCTTTCTTTCTTTATTCGTTTGTCTTCCTTTCCTTCCTGTTCCTGAATGCTCCTTTTTTTTCCGGTCTGGATTATCCGATCAGGAACGGTGGGTGAAAGGCCGTAATTTGCCAGGAAGGAGTTGTGAATGGACTCATACTCATCGGGCTGGGTATCTGGTATCGTTGGATGGAAAGTGGTATAAAACTATTACCCACCGCGAAAGACCCGGACCGCCTATAGCTACGAGTTGTGGGTTATTATTAATTTCTTTATGCATGTAGCTGAGTAAATGTAGTACATGGGAAACATCATACACATACACACACATAGATATACCCTATTATTCCCTTTGACTTAAGCATGGTCCTAGCAGATTGTTTTTATACCCGATACTCAAAATGAGTATTGGGGTATATTAGATTTGTGGTAAAAGTGGATGTGTGTAACGTCCAGAAGGAATCGTTTCCGACCCTATAAAGTATATATATTTTTGATCAGCATCAATAGCCGAGTCGATTGAGCCCTGTCTGTCTGTCCGTCCGTCCGTCTGTCCGTCTGTCCGTCTCCTTCAGCGCCTAATGCTCAAAGACTATAAGAGCTAGAGCAACGATGTTTTGGATCCAGACTTCTGTGATATGTCACTGCTACAAAAATATTTCAAAACTTTGCCCCGCCCACTTCCGCCCCCACAAAGGGCGAAAATCTGTGGCATCCACAATTTTAAAGATACGAGAAAACCAAAAACGCAGAATCGTAGAGAATGACGATATCTTTTAGACTGCAGAATCTGAACTGGATCGTATTATTATTATAGCCCCGCAAATTATGC